GAGGAACACTGCTCTAAAAGATGGCAAAAAATCCCCCACCTCCCTAGTTAGAATGAAAGACAGCTGAGGGAGCCCCATCCTCTCTGTCAAGATGCTCTGGGGCAGACAGATAAGCCTGCCCCAGCTTGGGCATTTCAGTCTGTTTTGCACCGAGAGGTATATTTTTTTTACTAAAACCAAGCAGTTACAGCATAAAAAAAAAAAAAGGCCAGATCTGAGGATTCCCGCATAAAGCCGATATTTTCCCCTTCTCCCAGGCCCTCTTGCTAGTGTCCAGTAAAGTTCACATGCGTTCTTTTGGTAACAGTTCTAAAGTTTGGCACCTCCTTGGTGGGCCGTTCACCTTCCATTCCCATGCCTGTGTCCTGGGACCATTGTCTCTGGTTGGCACCCCGGTTCCCATCATCCCCCCCTTCCCTGTATCCTCTTCTTTGGGGCAGCCCCTGAGATATTGGAAGACTTCTGTCCCCCCTCGTCCTTCTCTTCATTAAATGAGACATACCCAGTTCCAGCAACCGTTCCTTATATGTTTTAGCCTCCAGTCCCCTGATCCTCTTTGTTGCTCTTCTCTGCACTCTTTCTAGAGTCTCAGCATCTTTTTTACATTGTGGTAATGACCAAAACTGGATGCAGGATTCCAAGTGTGGACTTACCAAGGCCTTGTAAAGCGGTATTAATACTTCACGTGATCTTGATTTTATAGAAAGAAGGGTCTCTTTAGGCTTATGCTGCACATAACGGGACCAGGAGGGATTTGGACCGTGCTTTGAGGGTGCTTGCTCAAGCCTCAAGAACAGGGAGCAGAATCATTATTATTTTTAATTAATGGAATGGGAATGGAAGGGTTTCTATTCCTTGGAGACAGCTGGTCCTTTGCGTTCTTTAAGGATGCCAATAAAAAAAGGAGGATAAATCCTTCCATTCCCCCCACCCTCCAGTCAGAGCTGAAGAAGCTTCTGGGATGAGAAACGAGAGGTCTTCAAAGAAAAACAAGAAAGTCCAGTTGCCTCTCGAAAAAGCACTAGTAATCCTGTCTGGGGTTGTTGTTTTTTGCAAAACCTAAACAAAACGGCTCCCTGGAAATCCTGATGTTAACATAATCCAGCAAATCAGAATTCTTGTCTGTGTATTCTTCTAGAACAGGGGTAGGCAACCTTGGCTCTTTTATGACTCATGGACTTCAACTCCCAGAATTCCTGAGTCAGCCAGGAACTATCCCCTCTTCTTCCCCCCGCCAGGCTGCCAATCCAGAAAGATTGGGGACCACTGTTGGTTCTTGACCCAAATGATCTACCAGACATTTATATTCCATCAGGAATGCTCCTCAGATTCTAATCTGACACACACACACACATATACATCATCATCATCTCTATATAGGTAGACACATTCTTAAACACCAATCTTACACTAAAGGAAAGTATTGCTGTTGTCCAAAAATTGGTTCAGCCTGGCACAGAAGCCAATCAGAGTCAGACACGAGAGATGGGACTTTTGCAAAAACTTTTTATTGAAGCGTTTCAACAAAAGGGTCCCGGTCCAATTTGGGAGCCGAGACCCCTGAACAACAACAGCATAGCACGATCAGACAGTATCTGTTACCAGTTTAAGTTGGTGGGTTCACCTATTCTGGAATTGTCTGTCATTATCCATGATTTCACACTTCCTGATCTTTGCTATCCCTTCTCTTATCATGATTACGGATCATTGATGGCAGACGTTCGTTCCTGCCATCGTAAGATGAAGATCACGTGGTTACTGTAGAAATAAATCTGGAGTAAATCAGGCTTGATGCCACTGGTAACAATCTAAACAGGGATAGGCAACCTTTGAAAGAGGAGTTGAAGAGGTGATCTGGATTAAAATTGAACAGCCCTCCCTCTACTTCTAGTCTAGTCTATTCTATTTGCAATAAAAATTCTAATCTATTTTGTTCTATTCTATTCGCAATAAAGATTTATATTCTATTTGCAATAAAGATTCTATTCTATTTTGTTCTGTTCTATTTGCAATAAAGATTTCTATTCTATTCTATTCTACTTCATTTCATTATTCTATTCTATTCTATTCTGTTCTATTCTGTTCTATTCTATTCTATTCTATTCTATTCCATATTTTCTATTCTATTCTTCTACTTCATTTCATTATTCTATTCTATTCTATTCTATTCTATTCCATATTTTCTATTCTATTCTATTCTATTCTATTCTATTCTATTCTATTCTATTCTATTCTATTCTATTCTATTCTATTCTTCTACTTCATTTCATTATTCTATTCCATTCCATTCTAGTCTAGTCTAAATGTCCCTCGTTCCATTTTTTTTCCATAGTTGGTCACAGTAATTTATGCAACCATGCTGGCTTTGTCTGGGGTCTCTTCTTTCTCTTTCTCTGTGGTACTGTGTTAAATTGCCCTTTTCTAATCTCATTTTTCAGAGTTTCCCAAGCATTTTGAGTTCCTTTCCCCTTTAGGATTTCCATCCATGGAATCCTTCCTAAACTATGTCTTAGTTTGCTGACAGCGCAGTCCTTCCAGCTGTCCCGGGAGGTCCCACACAACAAGTAAATATTGAATTAAGAACTGCTAAATAAACACATTTCCCTGAAAAGGTGTCCAGTGTCATGGTTCCGAAAGGTGAAACTCTTCAAAGAACTTTGAGGCATTGTTTAATAATAATAATAATAATAATAATAATAATAATAATAATAATAATAATAATAATAATAATAATAATAATAATAAAATTGGAAGGGACCTTGGAGGTCATCTATCCCAACCCCCTGCTCAGGCAGGAAACCCTAGACCATTTCAGACAAATGGCTGTCCAGTCTCTTCTTAAAAACTTCCAGTGTTGGAGTATTCATGGCTTCTGGAGGCAGGTTGTTCCACTGGTTGATTGTTCTGTCAGGAAGTTTCTCCTTAGTTCTAGGTTGATTCTCTCCTTGATTTACCTTAAAGAATCTTTAATTGAGCAACATAGCTTCTGCACTTACATAGGCAAAGCCAAAATCTGAATTCTCCTCCCCTAAACACATAGTATCTAAGCATAATTCCCTCCTCCAATTAACAGTCATTAATCCCATTCTCCAATTACTTTGAAGTGCCAACGTATTGTTATGTCTAACTAATCCCCATGCACATTCGTCCCCCTCCCTTCCAGCACCATCTAATTGTAGCTCTAAAAGCAATACACAGGTTAAATAGAAAATGGCTGTGTCTTCATATATTGTCAAAGCAAGAACATCCGATGTTAGCAGTGTTGACATCTACACTATTCACACAAGCTCAGCTCACAGCATATAATAGATTAGAAAATAGTTCACTGGGTTTTTCTCTTATCTTGCAAGAACCTAGATAAGTAACAGGGCCTTGTTCCAAAATGCAGTTCTTGAATAAAGTCCCGCAAATCAAAGCCTGTTTGGGATTGAGAGTCAGTGCAGGACTGGTGAACAGGATGTGGGGGGGGAGGAATGAATTTTGGGCCATTGCTGACAAATGCATCGTTGGCTTTCATGCCTTCAAAGTCACGCCAACCTATGAAAAAAGTATCCCACGTTGCTTGTGACTTTTTCAATATGTTGATTAGGATGGCTAGCTATTAAGTCGTTGGCTATTGTTTCCTTGTACCTGCCAAGCCCTCTGGCTCCTAAGTACCTGATAAGCTGGCAATAACTGAGCGTTCCTATTGACTAAGGAGAGGCCCATTTCCCAATCTTCAATCGCTTCCCTGGCTGTTTTTGTACCTGCTCGTCCAGCAATCATAGTAGCTGCAAAACTGAATGTATGTGTAGGAATGTAGTTTTCCTGTGCCTTCCATGCCTGTCTTCCATTTCAGTGTCAAGGCATGGAGAAAATAAACCAAAGACGTTGAGACTCTAGGAGTACAGAGAAGAGCAACAAAGATGATCAGGGGACTGGAGGCTAAAGCATATAAGGAACGGCTGCTGGAATTGGGTCTGTCTAGTTTAATGAAGAGAAGGACGAGGGGGGACAGGATAGCAGTCTTCCAGTATCTCAGGGGCTGCCCCAAAGAAGAGGGAGTCAAGCTATTCTCCAAAGCGCCCGAAGGCAGGACAAGAAGCAACGGATGGAAACTCATCCAGGAGAGAAGCAACCTAGAACTAAGGAGAAACTTCCTGACAGTTAGAACAATTAACCAGTGGAACTCCTTGCCTCCAGAAGCGGTGAATGCTCCAACACTGGAGGCTTTTAAGAAGAGACTGGACAGCCATTTGTCCAAAATGGTATAGGGTTTCCTGCCTGTGCGGGGGGTTGGACTAGATGACCTCCAAGATCCCTTCCAAGTTTATCATTATCAAAGATCAAAGGGAGAAGAGGAAAAAAAGTTAAATTTATATTGATCATCCCAAAGGTGCTTTTTCAAGAGGCCACTGGACTTCCTTGTTCTTCTTTGAAGACTTTTCTCTCCTCATCCAAAAAGCTTCTTCAGCTCTGATTAGATGGTAGAAAATGAAAATCAGAGCTGAAGAAGCGCCTTGGATGAGAAGCAAAACATCCTGAAAGAAAAACAAGAAAGTACAGTTGCCTCTTGAAAAAGCACCTTTGGGACCACCGTGACCTGGATTGACTGAGACTCTCCAGAGACATTTATGTTGATCAATAGCTGAGATAGTGAGGAGAGTAAAAGCTTTAGAAAATAAAATCTCTTGATACACAACTGAAGTTTTTTTTATATACTTTATTTATTCAAACATTACAAAATCATCCATTTGTAGCAAAGAGGAAAATAGTTTACATCCAATGAGCAAAATTAAAAAATTAAAATGCAGATTCTGCAGGAACAATATTCCAAATACATTTGGGTTCAATACATTGTATAAAATACAGCAGCCAAGCCCTTTCCTTTCTCAAGTTAAGGAACCCAAGGCTTTAAAACTCATCCCTTCTGCAGAGAGAAATACAGAAGTGTTTGCTTGTGCAATGTAAGAGCATTAAAACTTTTCCTGCAGCCAAGCTCACTAAATGCATAACACTTAACTAGTGTGCACAGTGGCAACATGGCTTATTTCCCTAGGAAATTTTTTAAAAAGTTATACACCATCCAAGGAGTGAATTTCAGCACAGCGTCCAAAAATTTTAGATTCAAAGCCAGACTCTCTATTGTTTCAATATGAAATAGACCAAGTCATGACTGTTGTGTAAACAGTCTCCGTAGAAAACCACAGTCCTTTTATGAAATGGATGATTCCAAGATACCATTCCTTGGGAATGTTGCAATGATGGAGAATAAAGGAATTAAGCACAGTCCACAGTAAG